GCGCGGCCGGCGCGCCGCCGGTGACGATGGCGCCGTCGCGGCCCTCGAGGGGCCGCTTGAGGCTCGCGGCGCTCGCCGGGCTCGGCGCGGCCGCGGCCGCGCCGCGCGGGCTCCGGCCGCGGCCGCGCCCCCGGCCGCGCCCCCGGCCGCGCCCCCGGCCGCGGCCGCGGCTCGCGGCGGGCTTGGCCGCGGCGGGCTTGGCCGCCGCGGGCTTGCGCGACGCCGGCGCGACGCCCCCGCGCGCCGCGGCGCCGACGGGGTTCTTCTTGACGCCGTCCATGACGCCGACGCAGTTGGCCGCGCCGCAGTAGCACCGCTCGAAGCTCGCCCAGCGGTAGTCGTACGTGAGCTGCTCGCCCGGCTTGACGGACCGCAGGGCGAAGATGCCGTAGCGGTCCTGGCTCCCGCAGCGCCACTTCTCGAGGCGGCAGCTCGGGTCGCAGCTGTGGTTCGCGAAGCGCGCCTCGTTGCCCTTGCGCGTCGCGTCGATGACGAGGCCCTTGGTCGCGGCGTCCGACGCCGCGAGCATGTAGTAGTCCTCGTCGCCGTTGGCGCGCGCCGTCGCGAGGCGCTCCTGGGCCTCCTCCTCGCTGATGAGCTCGCCGAGCGCCTCGACGACGAACGCGCGCTTGGCGATGGGCTCGCCGGCGAAGAGGCCCCAGCCGCACTGGTCCGCCTTCTCGACGGAGACCTTGCTGCCGAGCTTGGCCGCGAAGCACCGGTTCTGGCACTTGTCGCCCATGGGGCAGGTCGCGGGGTTGCACTCGATCTGCAGGTTCCGGTTGAGGCAGTCGCCGTCGCACTCGACGCCGACGCACTTCTCGCGGCGGAACCGCGCGCGCGCGTCGTCGTCGGACTCGCCCGGCGCGCGCACGAGCGGCGCGCGGCTCAGCTGCGGCGGCGCGCCCATGGGGCCGCGGCTCGAGCTGCCGTTGCCCGTCCGCGGCGCCGCCTCGCCGCAGAGGATCGCGTCGACGTACGAGTTCCACTCGACGGCCGTGAGGCACTCGCAGACCGCGGCGCCGTCGCCGGCGTCGCGCGAGGCCGAGCCGCGCGCCTCCTTGGCGGCGCGCTTCGCCGACGGCGCGGCGTGCATGCGCGAGATCTTGGTGTACTTGGGCGGCCGCGCCGCCGATCCGCCGCTCGCCGAGGACCGCGGCGACGACGGCGACCTAAGGAGGTTAGGTCGCCGCCGTCTTCGAGGACGAACTTGAACCCGAACTTGGGGGGGGGGGGGGGAGGGGAAGGGAGGACGGGGGAGGGGAGGGAAGAAGACGGTGCGCCTCACCTTCTCCGCGGCGCGACGAGCGGCACGAGCCGGCTCGGCCGCGCCGAGACCTCGACGGTGCCGTCGGCGAGGGGCGCGTCGTAGCGCACGAGGCGGTAGCCGGCGCCCTTGACGGAGGTGATCGTGCCCTTGCCGAGCCGCTCGACCGTGACGTCCACGGGCGTGTGGAGCGGGTGCTCGTCGGGCGAGAGGTCGAGGATGGCGACGCGCCGGCCCGCCGACAGGACCTCGGTGAGCTCGGCCATGCGCGCGGTCCGCTTCGCCGCCGACTTCTTCTTTTTTTTCGGCGGCTCCTCCGCCGCGGCGGGCTCCGGCGCGGCCTCGGGCCTCAGCTGCGCCATGCGGTAGCTCTCGACGTCGTCGTCGTCGTCGCACTCGTCCATGAAGACCTTGACCCAGCCGTTGGCCGTCACCTGCCTCACGACGCCCGGGAGGCTCGTCGCGATGACGATGACGCGGTCGCCCTCGGCGGCCGCGTAGGGCTCCTCCGACGCGGGCGCCGGCGCCGGCGCGTCCTCCTCGGAGGGCGACGCGCTGTCGAGGTCGACGTCCAGCGTGCCCGCGGGGTCCTCGGGCGACTGGAACTCGTAGGGCGTGTTGTCGGCGTTGAGCGCGACGAGCCGGCTCGGCCGGAAGCTCGACTCGTGCGGGTAGGACATGCCGTCGAGCGTGATCTTGCGCCAGCCGCCCGACTGGACCTCCGACACGACGCCGCGCACGACGCCGTCGGCCTTGGGCTCGGACGCGAGGACCATGACGGGCGCTCCGGGGGCGTAGGCGTCGTCCTTGTTCATCGCCGCGGCCTGCTGCGCGGACGCCTCCTCGAGGACCTCCGCGGGCGCCGCCGCGGGGTCCTCCATGACGACGTCGTCGTCGGCGGCGGGCGCCGCCGCCGCGGGCTCCGGCTCGGGCTCGGGCGCCGCGGGCTCCGGCTCGGGCTCGGGCGCCGCGGGCTCCGGCTCGGGCTCGGGCGCCGCGGGCTCGGGCGCCGCGGGCTCGGGCGCCGGGGGCGCGGGCGGCGCGGCGGGCGCGGCGTCGTCGTCCGCGGCCACGAGCGTCGACGGCCGCGCGGACGCCTCCTGGTCCTCGCCGTCCCACTGGACGGTCCACCAGCTGCCCTTGCCCTTGCTCAGGAGCGTGCACTCCCGCGCGCCGTCCCGCTCGCGGAGCCGCGATCCCTCCTCGATGTGCGCGTAGGCGCCCTTGGGCGTCGCGGCCGCCGCGGGCCGCGGGCTCCGGGCCGGCGGCGCGACGACGGGCGGCGGCGCGGCGGCGGGCGGCGGCGCGACGGGCGCCGCCGCGAGCGCGGCGCACCCGGCCTCGAGGCGGTCGATGATGGGGTCCGACTGCGACTCCTCGCCGTCCTCCGTGCGCGACCGCTCGTCGCCGACCGCGACGTCCTCGATCTCGTCGCCGTGGCACGCGACCTCCTCGCCGTCGCCGTCGCCGTCGCGGCGGACGTAGAACATGTTGCCCGCGCCCACGGACATGACCGTGCCGACGCCGCCGCCCTGGCCCGCGGGGATGGCGACGCGGCGGCCGACGGCGCCCTGGCCCTTCTCGGCGTCGGAGACGTCGCTGATGACCGAGTCGTCGTCGTCGGCGCCCGCGCCGGCGGGCGGCGGCGGCGCCTCCGGCGCGGGCGCCGGGCCGCCCTCGCCGTCGGGCACCACCTCGATCTGCGACTTGCGCAGGGACACGATCGTCGGGTCGTCGTCGAGGTGGACCTTGATCCAGGCCTTGTTGCGCTCGACGACGATGCCGTACTTGCCCGCGAGCGACGTGTGCGCCTCCGTGATGCGCACGCGGTCGTGGGTGTCGGGCGCGCCGGCGTCGTCGTTCTTCCGCGGCCGCGGCGGCGCGCCGCCGCCGGACTCGGACCGGCGGCGGCCGCGGGCCGGGCTCTTGGCCGCGGGCGCCGCGACCGCGGGCGCCGCGGGCGGCGCGAAGGGCATGGCGGCGTCGCCGTCCTCCGTCGCGCCGTCGTCGACGGGCGCCGCGGCGGGCGCGGCCGCGGGCGCCTCGGCGCGGTCCGCGGCCGCGGCCGCGGCCGCCTCGTCGAGCGACGCGAGCTCGTCCATCGCGCCGGCCGCGGCCAGGGGCACGCCGCGCGCGGTCACGGCGACGCTGTCGAAGGAGACGCCGCCCGGGCGGCCGTCGTCGACGGGCGCCGCGGGCGCGGCCTCGGCGGGCGCGTCGCCGGCCTTGGCCTTCTTGCGCCGCTTCTTCTGCGGCGCGGCGCCGCCGACGCTCGCCTCGGACGCCGTGCGCGGCTTCTTCGCCGTCTTCTTGACGATCTCGCGGCCCTCCTCGTCGAACTCGACGAGGTCCGTGGAGCGGAACGTCTTGCGGTTGAAGGCCTCGCCG